TTTTTTAAAATTAATGTTTGCATGATAAATATATTTTCCATCCTTTTATTTTCAACCTACTTATATTGTTATATTTGAAGTGAGTTTCTTGTAGACAGCACAGTTAGGTCATGTTTCTTCATCCACTTTGCCAATTTCTGTCTTTCAACTGATATATTTAGACCGTTTACATTTAACGTACTTAGTGATACCTTAGAACTTAAGTCTCTCATTTTGTTTTTTCTGTTCTGTTGTTTTCTGTTTTCTGCCTTCTTGTGGGTTACCTGAACATTTTTTTTAGAATTCCATTTTGATTTATCTATAGTGTTTTTGGGTGTATTTCTTATCTTTTTTAGTGGTTGCTCTAAGAATTACATTGTATATACATAAGGTACCACAGTATACCGTTGTCCACATTTTACCAGTTCAAGTGAAATGTAGAAAACTTCCATCTATTTATATCCCTTTGCCGTCTCCCCTTGTAATCATTTTAAATATTTCTTTATACATTGAGAACAACATCAATATTTTAACCTTTGCTTCAACCATCCACCATAATTTAGAAAGCTCACAAGAAGGAAAGTATATTATTGACCCAGATTTTACTATTTCTATTGTTTTTTCTTCTTTCCTTTCTGATGTCCCAAGTTTCCTTCCTTTATTTTTCCCTTTATGTTCAGAGAACTTCTTCAGCCAATTTTTAGGGTAGTTCGGCTGGCAACAAATTCTCCTATCTTTCTTCATCCGAGAATGCCTAAATTCTCCCTAATTCCTGAAGGGTATTTTTCACCAGATATAGAATTCTCAGTTTATAGTACTTTTCACTACTTGAGAAATGTGCCACTTCCTTCTGGCCTCATGGTTTGAGAAATCTGCTGTCACTCAAATTGTTTTCCTTCTATAGATGAGGTGTCATTTCCCTTTTGCTGCTTTTGAGATTGTCATCAGTTTTCAGAAGTTTGACTGTGATGTGTCTTGGTGAGAATTTCTTTAGGTTTATCTTGTTTGGGGTTCTCTGAGCTTCTTGAATCTGCAGGTTTATATCTTTTGCCATTTCTGAGGAGTTTACAGCCATTATTTCTTCAACTTTTTCAGCCCCACCCTTTCTTCTCTCCTTCTGGGACCCTGATGACACAGATTTTAGATTTTTTGTTATAGCACCACAGGTCCTTGAAGTCCTTTACTTTTTTTCTCTGTTGTTCAGATTGGGTAATTTCTTTTATCTTCAAGTTCACTGATTCTTTCCTTTCTCTTCCATCGTTGTTGTTGGGTTTTTGTTTTTCTTTTTTTCTGGCTATAGTATTTTTCAACTCTAAACGATTCTTCTTTATATTTTCTATTTCTTTGCTGAGACTTTATAAAAACTTTTCACTTGTTTGAAGTGTGTTCATAATTGCTTGTTGACAGTTTTATAATGGCTGCTTTTAAATCCTTGTCAGATAATTCTCTCATTTCAGTGTTGATGTCAATTGTCATTTCTCCATCAAGTTGAGATTTTCCTGGTCCTTGGTATGAGTGGTATTGTAGTGAAACATGGACATTTTTGGAATTATGTTATGAAAAGACTCTGGATCTTAACATCTTTTGTTATAGCACACCTCCTCTAATGGGGGTGGAAAGGCACCACTTCATTCTTGCCAGGTGTGGGAGGAAGTTCAGGGTCCTCATTTGGTGCCTGCTGACACCCAGGGTGGGAGTGTCTCCCAGTCACTGGTAGGTGGGGGTGAGTCCCATCATCCCACTACACCTCTGCTAACACCCTGGTTGGGAGGGGCTGGGGCTCATTTCTCCTCCTCATGTGGCCTCCACTGAAAAAGTCCAAGCTCCCTACTTGGCTTTCTCTGAAATCACCCCAGCAGGGCTTCTGGGGTGCCCCCAAGATAGCCCAGCGAGGATGGAAGTCTAGGCTCCCAACTTCGCCTTTGCTGGTGAAGTTGGGGCTGGAGATTTGTCTTGCTAAGGAATCCCTTTTCTATCCTTACTTGGGGCTTTTTTTCTGCCTGCTTCTCCAGCACCCAGGTTTAGAAATGTGAAGCAAAAAGAAAACCCAGAGAGCTCAGTGCCAGTCATTCCTTGGTCCTGAGGTCCCCAGCCAGTCTGCCTTCTTCTCTCCACTTTCAAGTCTTATGTCTTTTACATAAAATGTCCAGGGTTATATTTAGTGGAAAGGATAGGGATAAGTACCTCCATTCCATCTTCCCAGAGTGGAAGTGTTCCTTTTTTAATACCATAAAAAAACTAACCATGTGGGAATGTAAAATGGTACAGCTGCTGTGGACGTCGGAATGGTGATTCCTCAAAAAATTAAAGACAGAATTACCACATGATCCAGCAATTTCATCTCAGACTATATACCCAGACTTGCAAGCAGGGTCTCAAAGAGGTATTTGTACACCCATATTCACAGCAGCATTATTCACAATAGCTAAAATGTGGAAGCAATCCGAGTGTCCATCAACGGATGAATAAACAATGTGTAGTACATATATACAACAGAGTATTATTCAGCCTTAAAAGGAAAGGAATTCTGACACATGCCACAACATGGATGAATGTTGAGGACATTATGCTAAGTGAAATAGGCCAACTGCAAAATGACAAATACTGTATGATTCCACTTATATGAGTAGTCAAAATCATAAAGACAAAGTATAATAGTGATTACCAGGGGCTGGGGGGAGGGAAGAATGGGGAGTTGTTGTTTAACGTGTATAGAGTGTCCGTTTTTTTTTTTTTTTTTTTGGCGAGGAAGATTGTACCTGAGCTAGCATCTGTGACAATCTTCCTCTATTTTTTTGTATATGGGATGCTGCCACACCATGGCTTGATGCGCAGTGCATAGGTTCATGCCCGGGATCCAAACCCACAAACCCCAGCCCGTCAAAGCAGAGTGCGTGAATTTAACCACTATGCCACCAGGCCTGCCCCAAGAGTTTCAGTTCTACAAGATGAAAAGAGTTACGGGGATGGATGGTGGTGATTGTTGTACAATGACGTGAAAGTATATAACACCACTGAATTGCACACTTAAAAATGGTTAAGACAGTAAATTTTATGTGCATTTTACCACAATAAAAAAATAAACTAATTTTTTTCTAATGCACAGTTGATCTAAGAGGTAAATTTCTGAGTTTAACTTCTTCAAACCAAGGCAGAGGCCATCAGTCAAGCTCCCCCATTCCCTACGAACAGACCTGACTACGCTGGAGCTGACCATGCTTAATACCCAGCAAGGCACTTGAGGCCCAGGAGGTACTGAGTTACTGTGCCAGGTGCTTCCACAGACATTAATGCTCACGTTCTCTCAGCTGTGGAGGCTGAGGTTCAGCAAGTCCTATGAGGAACTGCCTGAAGGTCAGAGCTGGTGAGTAGTGAAGCAGAGGCAAATCCGTTTTCTGGGGCCAAGTCCCAAGAGAGCACTTAGCAGAATCTTTTAAGAAATGACAGCTCAAAGGTAGGAATAACAAACGTTTATTCAGAAATGGATAAGTAACACAGTCTCCTCCATCCCTTAACGCCTCTTCCTCTCCTTTTGGACAAAAGAGACACAGACGGGAGATGTAGGGGAGTGGCAGGTGGAGAGGGACACAAGGACTGGCCCACCACCTTCTCTTCCCTGTTTCCCACAACAACAGCCTACAGAGCAGAGAAGGCCAAAAGCTTCCACCCTGCAATGTACCATACGGTTATCCAGAGGACAGGGTCCAGCCAGCCAGGCGGCTGCAGCTGGGCTCAATGAAACTCAGTGATAACCAGAGCAGCCTGGCTGGGACTGGAGGGAGGAGGGGAGGGTAAAGCCATGCAGGCAGGATATTTACCAACCCTACTCAAAGCCGAGTCCAAGCAGTGCTTCAACTGTCCCCAGTACCTGAGAAACCAGCTCCTACTGCCTTGTGGGTGCTCCCTTAGGCCGAGAAGGGAAAGTGTAGGAGTAATGTCTTCCAGCTGCTGAAGAGAAGTTTGCACCCGTTCAAAGGAGGAGAAAGAGAACAGAAGCAGCATTCTTAAAAAAAAACAAAACAAAAAACTGGAAAGTGGAGCACCATCAGTCACATTCCTTGGACTTCCCAGGCCTGGGCAACCTCAGAGCTGGAGGACTGAGCTGGGTTCAAACTCTGGTCCTTACTGCTTGACAGATTTAACTCTGTGGAAACATGAGTTTCCAGGTTTTTCGTCTCTGGGCTGGCCCCATACAGGTCAGCAGAGGCATTTAGTGTCTCAGGTCCCCTATACTTCCTAGGCTTGTGCCCTTCACAGCACCTCCTACTGATTTGTAGTGCTCCCAGAATCCTGCTCCCCACCTCGCTCCAGCTCTGCCAGCCTGGATTCCCTTTACAGTCCCAGAAAACCAGCAGGAGACTGAGAAGGACACCAGAGCAACGGTCTCCTGGTATTCAGGAGCTGCCCCTGGGTTCTACAGTTTTGCCCCAAATGCCTGGAACCATGCTAAAGGAACAACCCACCAGCTTGCCTGGAAGGGCTGCTCTGCTGTCTCAACTTCCTCCCACCACCCACCACTCTTCTCCCCCCCAGCAAGGCAAGAAAATATCCCTCTGGTCACGGATGGATGGGTCTCACAATAGCAAGGACAGTGCCTCTCGGTGACAGCTGGATACATGCCTCTCAGCATCCCTGACTAGTGTCCTGTAGACACCTGAGGCCAGAAAGCAAGAGCTGGGAGCAAGCCAATATCTCCCATTCAAAGATCCCCCCAAACCCACAGTGTCACAAAACAAGAGGCAAACTCTGAAAAACCCAACTAGCAGAGAGCTGGCATTTGTGCCAAAACCAGGGTGAGATGAGCGCCGTGCCAGTGAGAACCGGAAGAGCTAACGATGCAGGCCCCTCTCAAGGTGATACCCAGAAGGCCAAGACTGTTGGGTGGGACACTCACCATAACCCAAGGGAAAAGGGAAATGTCAACTTGAGAATTTACTCTGGGTTGCCTGTGATGGCACAGGCCTCCAAGGCAAAGGCTGGGGGTACCCTCTTCTGAGCAGGGCCTTGCTGCAGGGCCCTGCTGCAGGGCCCTCTCCATACCAGACTGGTCCAGAGCCAATCGTGGTGAGAGGACAAGAGGCCTGTGGCCTGATCCCCACCCAGGCCATCTCCATGGACCAGGTGGGTGAATGGCACAGCTCCCGAGCTGACCTGGCTCCTATTAGGTTGGCAGGGGCTTCCATTGCCCGCTTTGTTGGAAAAGTTTAAAAAAGAGAAAGGGGAGGCAACCCCTCACCCCTGGAAAAAGCAGTGTCCTTCAAACAGCCCCTGCCCTGCATTCCATGGGGCCACATGAAAGCCACCCAGAGAACTTAGGGCACCATTTCCAGACAAGAAATCAGTTTGGGGCTGAGGTTAGGGGGAGAGACACTCTGAGCAACACAAGCCTACCTTGGTGATGAGGTGGAGGGGAAGAAACATACTACAGGGAATGTTAACGTACAAAAGAGCACAGGGCAGAAGACAACACGGAAAGGTGGGTCCCGTCCAGTGAGGAAGCTCTCTACCCCCGGCGACCCCTCCCACGCTCAGGGGCCTCCAGTCCAATGGCCCATTGGTCACAAGCTTTGCTTCGGGAAACAGAGCCACCCTCCTCTGCCCCCCGCTTCTGGCTGCCTCACTCCCCCGCTCAAAGTTTGATTTTGAATTCTGTGGGCTGTGTGGTCACAGAGGCCCCTGAGGACTTGAAGAGAGCCTTCAGGATGGTGTCAGGGTCCACTTCGGCAGGAGGGTTGGACGAGGTGGCAGAATTCACCCTGCGAGGCAGCTCACTCTCCTTTTTCACGGAGGGGCTATCACTCAGCCGTCTGCGGAGAGCAGAGTCAAAATCCTTGTCAGTTTTCCCTTAGGTAGGAAGGGGACCCACCATCTACTGGGCACCTGTAATCAGCTAGGCACCGAATGAAATGCTTTCTGTACCCCTTTATCTCATTTCATCTTGTAGCAGACCTATCACTTTTCAATCTGCTGATGTGCAAGCTGAGACGCAGCCTGCTGTGTTCTGGGGTTTTAAGTTTAGGAGACGCTGCACGTCCCTCAGGGATGGTCACACACATCAGTATTTTATGCATTCTGAGAAGTCTTGAAGTAAAGAAATCGATTTAACTGGGTATTTAGCCCAATGGTTTCCAAACTTATTAGGTCATAAAACCCACATTTTTCAGAATACAACTTATTCCTAGAACAGTTTAAGAAACTTGTCTATATCACACAATTCAATATCCAGGGTTCAAATTCTAGTCTTTCTAAAGTTCCAGGTCTATTTCAGGCCTGCCTCACACTAACCCATCCACCTTGGCAAGTCTAATATCCTTGTGAGGTCTCTGTCTCCTTGTCTATAAAAGACGTCATGTCAGTCTAGACATTTTACGCAACTCGGGCTCCAAAAGTCCTCAGTCCCAGGTCAGGCACGTACCCCCAGTTTATGTAACAAAACAAGGGGTAGCACCCGGCACTGTCCCCACGCAACAACAAGGAGGCCGGGTTTTCCATTCACTTGGACAATGCATGCAGTTGTGCCAAGAGGGACACAAGTGGCTTGCTCTCCACCTTCTTCTCCGGTGTTTCTAAATTATAAGGCTGGGAATGAGGTCTTAATGCTAGTCCCCATGGCCAATCCCCTATGGAAATGACGAGATGAGCTACTTTGTACACATTTTAGCACCCTGATTGACCACTTGCAATCAGAGCAGAGGAAATGAAATGCAGCTGTGATGCAGGCAATTCACCCCTCAAAATAAAGAGAGGATCATGCAGAGGAAGCAAGCAGAAAAGCTCCACCCGGTCCCCAGCACCCCTGGCTTTGGAACTTACAGCAAGATGGGCTGGTCTGAGGTGATAACGTTTCCATTCATGTGAAGGTTGCACTTCATTGGTTGCCCTGAAAAAACAAAAAAGAAAAGACTCTGCCATGAGACTTCAGCTCCTCCTGTAGGAACTCCTCCTACAGTTCCTCCTGTACGGGAATAGAGCCGTACAGAAGTAACATTTCTACATCTCACTGGAATTAACTTAACTTTAATCTGAAATAGATTCTGATAAACTATGATATATACTGTAAACCCCTGAGCAACAATTAAGAAAGCAACTCAAGGGGACCAGCCCGGTGGCATAATGGTTAAGTTCGCACACTCCACTTTGGTGGCCTGGGGTTCGCAGGTTGGGATCCTGGGCACGGACCTACACATCACTTATCAAGCCATGCTGTGGCAGGTGTCCCACATATAAAGTAGAGGAAGACTGGCACGGATGTTAGCCCAGGGCCACTCTTCCTCAGCAAAAAGAGGAGGATTGGCAACAGATGTTAGCTCAGGGCTAATCTTCCTCACAAAATAAAAAGTGACTCAAAAAATACGGTGAAAAAAAATCATTAAAGGAACTAAAATGTTACACTAGAAAATCTTCATGTAATGCAAAAGAAAGCCAAATTAAATGTGAATAGATTAAATAATCCAATCAAAAGGCAGAGATTGTCAGACTGGATTAAAAAAAAGATCCAACTATATACTATCTATAGGAGACACACTTCAGATTTAAAGATACAAAAAGGTTGAAAGTAAAGGAATGGAAAAAGATATATCACTCAAACAGCAACTCGAAGAAAGCTAGAGTGGCTATACTAATATAAGACAAAATAGACTTTAAAACAAAAAATGTAACTAGAGAGAAAGAGAGACATTTTATATTATAAAAGGGTCAATCCATCAGGAAGAAAACAATTATAAACACATATGCAACTAACAGCAGAGCCTCAAATACATAAAGCAAAAACTAACAGAATTGAAAGAAGTAAACAAATAACAACAGTTGAAGATTTCAATACTTCACTTTCAGTAACAGACAGAACAACCAGGCAGATAAACAAAGAAACAGAAGACAACATTATAAACCAACTAGACCTAACAGACATCTATCCAACAGCAGCAAAATACATATTCTCCTTAAACACTCATGGAACAGAAGGTCATTTGTTAAATTCACAAATATACGTAAATCAAACAAAACAATCCTAAATAACCAATGGGTCAAAGAAGAAATCACAAGAGAAATTAGAGATTGGGCCAGCCCCGTGGCTTAGCAGTTAAGTGTGCGCGCTCTGCTGCTAGCAGCCCGGGTTTGGATCCCGGGCGCGCACCGATGCACCACTTCTCCAGCCATGCTGAGGCCACGTCCCACATACAGCAACTAGAAGAAGGATGTGCAGCTATGACATACAACTATCTACTGGGGCTTTGGGGGGAAAAAATAAATACATAAAATTAAAAAAAAAAACAACAAGAAATTAGAAAATACTTTGAGATGAATGAAAATAAAGACACAACATACCAAAACTTACGGGAGGCAGCTAAAGCAGTGCTTAGAGGGAAATATATAGCTATCAATGCAGAGATTAAAAAAAGGAGTGAAAAGACAACCTACAGAATGGGAAAAAATACTGGCAAATCAGTTATCTGATAAAAGACATATTAAGACTATATAAAGAATTCTTTTAAACTCAATTAAAAAGTGGGCAAATAGTCTGAATAGACATTTCTTCAAGATATACAAATGTCCAATAAGCACATGAAAAGATACTCAACATGGGCCGGCCCCATGGCTTAGCGGTTAAGTGCACGCGCTCCGCTGCTGGCAGCCCGGGTTCGGATCCCCGGCGCCCACCGCTTCTCTGGCCATGCTGGGGCGCGTCCCACATACAGCAACTGGAAGGATGTGCAGCTATGACATACAACTATCTACTGGGGCTTTGGAGGGAAAAAATAAATAAATAAAATCTAAAAAAAAAAAAGAAAAGATACTCAACATCATTAGCCAATAGGGAAATGCCAATCAAAATCCCACTGTTTTATTAGTCACTGCATCTCCACTTCTACCATAGGGCCTTCATCCACAAGTGTACTCAATAAAAACTGAAAGAACAAATCAGTGGATAGAAGGGGCATGGCAGAAAGAACTTCTCTCCACAGGCTATCCTGAGATGAATAATATCTGAATTCAGTAAATGCAGTAATTTACTCACTATAAGCAGAGCTCACCCAGGTGCCAACATTTAGACAAAGCTTCAGGCCTTTGAGGAACCTGTGACCTAGCTCTAAGCAGACCAACACCTGGAAGGGGGAGGCTACGGCTCTCCGCTTCCCTGGTGAAGATCTCTTAAAAAGAACCATCCGTGGAGAAACGATGTTTCTCTGCTAGCTAGACTTAAGTGCTAGCTTAAGTGAAAACCCAGGGCCCCGGGGAACAGGCAGCTTAGCACTACCAGGAGACCGCACATCCCTGCCTGCTCTTGGTGCAGAGGAGGCCCCAGAAGGGTGACTGCACCAGGATGTCCTCCCTCCCATCTCAGAGGAAGGCTTGCTCCAAATGCCTGCTGCCTGACAGTGAGCAGTGAGAAGCAGGAAGGTGAGGTGGCTACTTTCTCTCTGACTTACCATCCAGACACCGGTTGTTATATTTCTTATATGCAGTGATAGCATCATCCTTCTTCACAAAGACCACCTCTGCTACCCCAGGATGGACCAGCCGAGCCCGCTTGAGGGCTCCACACACACAGAAAAGCTCCTGCAAAGAACAAGAGGCATTGGGGTTAGGGGAGAATTCCAGGCTGTCACCCTGCCTGCCATTCACACACTCCAGAGGGCTCTGGGTTGACTGGTGGCTGCACTCCAGCTGAATATGCCCAGTGCCCAAGATTTCAGAGAGGCTCCATTTTAGGTGGTGTTCCTGGGACATCCCATCCAGGCCTCAACATGGGAGCAGGTGAGGGGAAAAGCTGTGCTGGCAGTGAGAAATGGGTCTGGGCTTGTAAGCCTTGGAGTCCCTGTGACCTTCAGCAAGTCACCCCAAAGTCCTCCCGCCTCAGCGCCCACTTCCTCAACAAGGATGATAGTTATGCAATATGGAATTTCTCTCAGAGAGCTCTGTCATGAGAACGAATGCACAGGCTCATCAAAGACAGTGGCTAACATGTCACCTGGGAAGCTATTAGATATACAAATTCTGGGGCCGGCCTGGTGGTGTAGTGGTTAAGTTCGCATGCTCCACTTCAGCGTCCCAGGGTTCAAATCCCAGGTGCAGAGGCACGCACCACTTGTCAAGCCATGCTGTGGTAGACATATAAAGTAGAGTAAGATGGGCACAGCTGTTAGCCCAGGGCCAATATTCCTCAGCAAAAAGAGGAGGAATGGCAACAGATGTTAGCTCAGGCCTAATCTACCTCACCAAAAAAAAAAAAAATCACTGACTAAAAGAAATACAAATTTTGGAGTTTTAGTCAGGGTGACCAATCATCCTGGTTTGGCTGGATTTAGGGGTTTCCCAGGACACGGGACTTTCAGTGCTAACCAGGAAGTCCCCAGCAAAACCAAGACAGTTGGTCACCCTAAGTCAGATAGACCTGGGTTTGATCCCTGGGGCTCTGCCTATCAGCTGTGCGACTTCAAGCAAGTTATTTAACTTCTCTGAAGGTGAGTTTTCTCTTCTGAAAAGAAGAAAAGGACTGGTCTAGCCTACATCTCACAGTTGCTCAAAGTGCAACTGAAAGCATTTTTTTTGTGTGTGAGGAAGATCAGCCCTGAGCTAACATCCATGCCAATCCTCCTCTTTTTGCTGAGGAAGACCGGCCCTGGGCTAACATCCCTGTCCATCTTCCTCTACTTTATATGGGACACCACCACAGCATGGCTTGACAAGTGGTGTGTTGGTCCACGCCTGGAATCCAAACCTGCGAACCCCGGGCCACCGCAGCGGAGCGTGCAAACTTACACGCTATGCCACCGGGCCAGCCCTGAAAGCATTTTTAAGGCAGTGCTTTGTACATGTGTTACCATCATTATTTACTTCAATCTCTCCTCATTTTACAGATCAGGAGACTGAGGCCAGAGAAGGAACACAATGTGGAGATGGACCAGGCCAACTAGCACCCAAGCCATTTCTTCACCTGCAACTGCCCTTCGTAAGGTTGTTACGAGGACAAAGAGAAGACTTTTGAAAAGGTTGTTGAAATGATTTGTTTCTAATGATAAAAGGGAAAATGTTTAATGTCAAAACCAAGACATGGAACTGAATACTAAGTGTGATCCAATTTTATTACTGCTGTTCTTAAATTTTTTTTTTTTTTTTTTTTTTGGTGAGGAAGATTGGCCCTGAGCTAACACCTGTGCCAGTCTTCCTCTATTTTATATGTGGGACACTGCCACAGCATGGCTTGATAAGCAATACATTGGTCCGCCCCCAGGATCCAAACCTGCAAACTTCGGGCTGCCTAAGTGGAGCCCATGAACTTAACCACTATGCCACTGGGCCAGCCCCTTAAATTTTAACATTACCTATTTGGGTAGAAAAGAGGTGAAGGTGACTACTATTGGCAGTTCCCTCTGAGTGGTGATCATTACTGGTGTTTAGTCTTTCATTACTCTGTATTTTCAAAGATCCTCCATACAAAGTGCCTGGCACACAGTAAGTGCTCAATAAAAGGTAGCTATTATTTTCTAATCAGGAAAAAGTGTTTTGATTCTTTATAATTTGTTAAGTATCACACAAAGTAGACTACGATTTCCATTCTTGCGTGCACCATTCACTGGCATGCCTGCGTAGTTCTAAAAGCAATCACACAGCACTCAGGTATTTCACAATTAAAACCATTAACAAACATGGTGGCCAGCGTGGGCTGTTACAGAACCTGAGACTCAGCTGCAGGGAGAGGCTGGAGGCAAGTTCATTCATTCTGTGATCTGACAGTTCAGAGTTAAAAGGGTACCTGGATTTTTAAACTAACAGCTTTTTTCGGTGCCTGAATGAAAATGAGGTTGAAAAGAAGTCCTGGCTGCATCTGGGCCCCCTCACCAGGCACCTGAATTAGGTTTTGCCCATGACCATCAAGAGTGGGACAGGATGGACCAGAAAGGCAGTCCAGAGGGACCAACCACCAGCTAACACCAACCCATCCCATCCCTCTTACTTTGGAATCATTGTGAAAACCTCTACAGGAGGCAAAAGTTCCAAAGACTCACGGGAAAATATGAACCACTGGATTTTGCACAGTAGGACTAAAGGATCCCATTTAAGACCCACTCCAGCACAATCCCCTGGCCCTGAGATTCAGGCCGGGCACCTGGCCCTGGTTTAGAAGCTGTGAGGAAAAGAGTCAACATAGCTGGCCTGACTGCTATCCTTTGGAAGGCCTGCTTCCAAGTTTGGCCCTTGGCTGGTGTTGGGGAACCTGGCTTCTGGGAGGGCTCCACCACCCTCACTGACAAGAGTGGCTCACTGTGCCTAAGCTGTTTGTGCAAACAACTGTGGTTTATGCTGAACACCTGCCTTCTGTCTGGGAGTCTGGAATTCTGGTATGCCTGAGGCAGAGAGTACCTACGTGACCAGGCCCCAACAAAATCCCTGGGCACTGTGTCTCTAATGAGCTTCCCTGGTTTCACATGTGTCATCACAACTTGAAGCTGGGAGAATAAAGTGCATCCTGTGTGACTCCACTGGGACAGGACTCTGGAAATCTGCACCTGGTTTCCCCCGGCCTTTGTCCCATGAGCCTTTCCCTTTGCTGACTTTGCTTTATATCCTATAAGAAATCTTAGCCCTGATAGAATTCTCTGCTGAGTCCTGTGAGTCCTCCTAGAGAATTAAGTGAGCCTGGGGGTGGTCTCGGGGACCCCTGACACAGAAGTGGTTTGAGATTTAAAATTCTGCCCAGGCCACAGTACTCACAACAATGTCCTCCTCGGTGACTCGAGGGTGCAGATTATTCACGGTCATCTTGGTGCCTTCCAAAGGGCTGAGGACAGGCTGCTACAGACAAGAGCGTTACCAGAAGTCAGAGAACAGCTACACACTCAAACAGCAGAACTCACTCCAGGGAAGCGACCAGGAAGGCCCAGAGGAAACCCCCATGGAGAGCCCGTCACAACCAGGCCCCTCTAACCTTAGCACCCATCATGCCCCCACCACCCTATGCTAAGGGATGGAACCTCTCATTTCCCAAACACGCCAGGTCCTTTGAGGCCTTTGAGCTCTGCTTGGAATGCCACTCATGTTTCAAGACCCACCCAGCTCAGGCAGCACTTTCTCCTTAAAGCCTCCCCGGATGTGCCCAATGGAATTAGATACTCTTTCTGCAGTGTTCCCAGCAGCTCTCTTCTGAGCAGACCTCTGCTGTATCACCAGACACAGTGCTCTGTCTGCAGCTCTGTTTTCCCTGCTCGCCTGCAAGATCCTTGAGGGCGGGGCCACTGGCTCTTGGTTTGCTCATTTGCAAACGGGGGTGGCAACGCCTATCTCACAGAGGCACTGTGAGGACCCAAGAGGGTACATATAGCACAGCACCCACCCAGTACAGGCTGACTCTCAACTGGCATGGTCACTTCCTCTCCCTCACCTTCCCCTCACCTCAGCAGGCAGCAGCTCTTTGGGGGGCTCCTCCTTGTTCACTAGTGTCCGGGACATGTTGGTCAGAGCTTTTGTTCGAACAGAAGAGGGGAGAGCAGGAGCTGTGTAGGCATCATTCTGAACCACTTTGGTGAGAGGGAGGGCCTTGGATGTGGAAAGCTTGGAACTGCTCAGCCCGGCCTAAACAAAGAGGCAAACAGGAATCTGAGAGGCTGGAGATCTCGATGCCCCAAGGGGCTGACAACCCTTGAGGCCTCCCAGCTCCCCAATTCCATTACCGGTCTGGAGCCAAAGAGGCTGCCGGCTGCCAGTGATACCCCACAGGGAAGGGGCGGGAGGGGAGGAAAAAAACACAGCCTGCACCCATGCTCACAGCAGCCACTCTCCCGTGTTAGAAGCTCTTGGCAAGAAGCTTCCATGCAGCCCTGACCAGGAGCCACAGGCTCACCCATACCATTTAGACTTCACTAAAACCTTACAATTTGGGGCCTGTCAGAAGGCCAAAAGCTTGGGGTCAAGCTCAATCGCAGATATGCTTCTGTCACAACAGGCTGATCATCAGCTCTGGGCTGGCTGGGCATAGGAACCCACTCTTAAGAAGGCCCAGACTCCCAGCTTTATAGTTCCTGTCTGGGCCATACAGAGGCTCTGCATGTAGCCCTGGCCTCATCAGCTTCCAGACTGGCAGGGACATGCTGGCAGTTGGCACGTGCAGACCAGTAGAAACAGTTCCCTCCCTCCCCTGCTACCCCTAATGGGGATGTGTCCCTTGGAAATATAAACCAGCAAACCCCCTGGTATTAATGTGTCTGAGGCAAAAGATGCATAAGGCAGAAGTGGCAGATGGTCTTGCTGATTTAGGACAGGGTCTACCAGGTACTGACTTATGGACCATGGAGGAATGCAGCAGCCAGAGAGGCAGAGCATGGGGCAGGGACAATTTACCAGCTTCTCCAAGTCTAGATGAAATGTCCTCCTCTCGCTGGATTCCACATTTCTCAAGCTGCTTTCTGAGCCCCGACAGCCAGTATAGTGTAGAGTGAAACACGTGGCCCGGGAGCCAGACTGCTTAGGCTTGAATCCTAGATCTACTACTTATAAGCTGGGTGATACTGAGCAGGTGTCTTTAACCTCTCTGCACCTCATTCCTCATCCATAAACCAGGGGTGATGATACCTCCTCTCACAGGGTGGGAGGGAAGGGCAGTCTTATATGAGTTAGTATGAACCCAGTGTTTTTTGAGTTAGGGCTAGCCACTAACTGAGCTGGCTGACAGCCCCCTGCTGCAGACCTGAGCAGTCTAATTATTGGAAAGGCCCAGCCCCTTTGCTACAAACTGGCATCACTCAGCTTCACACATCACTTTAAGAGCTTCAACGGTAACTAGGAAATCGGTCCACACATTCAGTGCGGTGACCAAAACTGAGTCTTTAGGCCTCTCACGGCCAAACAAAGGCACTTGGCTTGGGTGCCCACTGGCCTCCTGTCTGTCATTTGCTACATCCGTTGAGCTGAGCAGTGCAGACCTCCCTGATGTTCCCAGATATTGCTTTCTTTCCTTCTCTGCATGGTATCTGACTAGCATCCTGGTCAACAAGCTTTCCCTGCATGCAGGCTGCACCTGGTGGAGCCCACAGGCAAGGTTTAGTTTATTGTTGCTACACACCAACCAAGGGAATGCAGATTCAAGAATGGCGCCAGAGCTGCTGACCATGGAGGGAAGGGGAACATGCAGAATGTCCTGCCACAAAGGAAAGAAAATGAGATTCCTTCCTGTGGGATTGCTCACACTTTCCCTGAAGTGTCTCAAACACAGCAACTGGGAGCTGCAGCTCTGCACTTCACTAGGTGTGAGACCTTGAACAAGTCACGGGACACTCTGGTCTCAGCATTTATAAAATGAGGGGTTGATTAGGTCCAGTTCTGAAAATCATATGACCCAAATACAGAAACACTTCTGAACTGAAAGGCCCTACTCTCCACCACCTCTCCCACCCACCTGATCAGACACGCAGTGTAGGAAAAACATAAAATGCCCTACCATGTGGTGGAGAAAGCTGCCTGAGGCTGTGAATTTCATCTGTTTACTAGGAATGGGAGCTACGTCTTCATCTTCATCTAGGTCGTATAAATTCTGAAAATAAAGAAACATAAGCTAACATGGCACGCAAGTTCTCAACAGACATTTGGAGCAAGGACAGCGAGGAGATGACTACTGGAGTGAGCGAGGCTGAGGGACAAGTGGGTACAGGGAGTGTGTCTGGGCTCTGGTCCTGACAGGCTGGCTCCTGGCCCACAAGGGCCCAAAGAAAGTGCTTCCAGGTACATCTGATGTAATTTTCTACAAGTGAGCAATACCTATCAAGAGTCCCTAACATGTTGGTTTATATTCTTTGGCTTAGAAAGTCCATCCCAGGCAATCTGGACTACAGAAGTAAACCCAAACCCTAGAAAAAGCTTTATGCACAAAGATGTTCATAGAAGGACTGATGTTCATAGAAGGATTTCTAACAGTGCAAATCACAAGAAAATGGTTTAAATAAACTAAAATGTCAATTCGATGGATTATGTGGTTATTAAAAATGTTTACAGTAAATGTGAATCACACAAAAATGCTTGAGTTATAAAGTGAAAACAAAATGACACAAAATTGAATAACAATAAAACCACAACTACAGTACACATTAAACAAATAACAATGACATTAAAAAAAAAAAAAAAAAAAAAAGGAACCAGGACAGAATTTCAATGGTGGTTGGCTTTCAAGAGCAGGAGCATCAGGAACTTTTTCTTCTTAATCTTCCTCTACTTTGCGAATTTTCTGTATTAAGCACATACTACTTTTATAATAAAAAAATTATAAAGACTTTTTTTTTTTTGGTGAGGAAGATTGGCCTTGAGCTAACATCTGTTGCCAATCCTCCTCTTTTTGCTGAGGATTGGCCCTGAGCTACCATTTGTGCCCATCCTCCTCTTTTTTGTATGTGGTATGCCACCACAGCATGGGTTGATGAGTGGTGCACAGGTCTGCGCCCAGGATCCGAACCTGCAAACCACAGGCCGCTAAAGTGGAGTAGGCGAACTTAACCACTACGCCACTGGGCTGGCCCCCCAAAAATAACAAAGACTTTTAATTTGCCTCTCTGCCCCTCATGTGTCACCTCCCCCAGTTAAGAATTTTCTTCTGGGGGGCCAGCTCAGTGGCCCAAGCAGTTAAGTGCGCGCGCTCCGCTGTGGCAGCCTGGAGTTTGCTGGTTCGGATCCAGGGCACGCACCGACGCACTGCTTGTTAAGCCATGCTGTGGCGGCGTCCCATAAAAAGTAGAGGAAGATGGGCACGAATGTTAGCCCTGGGCCAGTCTTCCTCAGCAAAAAAGAGGAGGATTGGCATCGGATGTTAGCTCAGGGCTGGTCTTCCTCACAAAAAAAAAAAAAAAAAAAGTTTCTTCTTAAAACTCATGACTTGCAGAAGCCAAATATAATCCTTCCTCCAACTCTTCAAATTGGGAAACTTGGGCCAGGCCTCAGTTAATTCACCCAGCACCCCCCATGAAAACACAAGCATGCGTACACATACACATTTGTACACACAGATGAACACACAACACACACACACTACCTGTTTGGCCTGGTGGTTATTGACGACATTGATCTTCATTCCAGCAGGATGGGCATGAAGTGGTGCCATGGCCTTCTGCTGAGGAACCTAGAAACACCTAGTGGTCAAAATTCATCCCACAAGTATGGTGGACACACAAGTTTTGGTCTTTGGTAAAAGGCCCTACAGAATGCCTCAAGTCCAAAGCAGGAGCGTGACAGGAAGACTCGCCATCCCAGAGACCGTGTGACAATGCATGTACAGGGCTCAATGAACCTGACTCTGCTCAACGAACAGCTGCTGCTGCTGTTCCTGTCACCAAAGACGCTGTGAAGATTAAACAATAGTGTTCCGTTCCCTTTGGGGTGGCGGCCGTGCAGGTGGCCAGGGCACTGCACTAGGAGCCAGCTCTGACTGGGTTCCTTCCCAGGTCCTCCCACTGACTAGCTGTGTAACTTTGGACACAATAAATCACATCCTGGGGACTTAGATGATTCTTTTATGATGATTCTTTTATAAAACTGGGGTAATACTCCCAGGGTTGTAGTGAGGAACAAATAAGGTCATACATATTATATGCCTGCTGCATAGCACATGCTCAACAATTGCTTTGTCCTTTCCTCTCTCTTCCCTCCACCACTATCTCACTTGGGTAAGTCACTTAATTTCTCTGCACCTCCCCTTTCTTTTACATAAAACTTAGACAATACCTTGCCTTTCTAATATACTATACAAACACTTGCGAGAATTGTCCTTTTGTCCAAATACTCCTGATCCCTGCTCCGTGCCTGAATCTGCAGTTGTTACTGGCTTCTGGAAATTTATGACAAGAGCCACAACCCACCTGGATGGTTTTAGTGAGCTTCAGAGCAGGGGTCACTGTTCCGATGGGTGGGCTCATGAAGGCAGCAGGGGAATTCCGCTTCAAGCTGATCTTCTCTCTGGCATCGGCCACCTGGCGGGGCTTCTGGGGTGCCGTGCTCTGCTGCTTGCGAGAGTTCAGCATCTCTCTGGCATCCTGCACTTTCCCTTTGATCCGGAACCGGGCATCTTTCTGCAAAAGCTTTTCCCGGGCATCCTTGACGCCCAGCTTGAGCCGGGCGTCTGAGAGGCCAATCTTCTGCCGGGCATCAAATCTCTGCTGGAAGGTGGCTGTGCGTGCTGGCTGGCTGAGAAGGCTCTGCTGGATCCCAACACGAGATCGGACACCTCCAACTCCTGGTCTGGCATTGAGCCTGCAAATAAAAATTGCAGTATTAAGTGGATCTGAATATCAACAGTAGCCCACGGAAGTAGAGCTGTGGTAATACTGGGAACAGAGTAGTCCTGGGGAAAGCAGAAAGTTGCTCCCTGTCTGAGGAAACAAACCTAGAGAGACTTCTCTCCTAGTTTTACAGCTGCCATTATGCCTTGTAAACAAAATTAGGAAGGAGGGCCTGGTGGTTCTTTCACTAGGTAAGACTGTTTTGCTTCCTAGACCAGGTGTTTTGCGACACCATTATGGACAACAACCTCCAAATGATACCAATCAAATAAAATAGACATATCCCCCAAGTATCATAACCTCACACATCTGAAGAGCAACTTCAGTCTTCAAAGCTCTTCCACATCCATGCTCTCAATCAGCCCTCTCAGCACCCTATGAAGTACCCATTCTGATGCCCATTTTACAGCGGGAGAAACAAGCTTGGAGAGGTTAAGTGATTAACCAAAGGTGCCCAGCTGGCCTCCAGCAGCCTCATGCCCCCAGTGCCGGCAGATAGCCCCTCCTGGGCTGGGACCAAGAAAGCCAACACGGGGGCCTGTCTTGGAGCTACTGGACTAACAGACGATACAAAGACTTGATTAAAAAGAAAAATAGTCACTTCTGTCTGAACTGTTTCTACTCACAACACTTCTGACACCACATGTGTTTTTTCCTCACACCAACCACTTCTCCAATTCTCTAGACACCAACTGGGTGACCCACAATTCAATTCTAACACTAACCACCTGAAGTTAGCACAGATCCCACAGGTGAAGGCTCGTCCCACAGACTGCCTCCACTGCAGACGCCAGTCCCTAGTCCCAGGCTGCCTGTCCTTCTGATCCCATGACCCCCTCCTCAAGTTCGATAATTTGCTAAAACAGCTCACAGTACTCAGGAAAACAGTTTACTTACTATTACCAGTTTATTATAAAGAATACAACTCAGGAACTGCCAAATAGAAGAGATGCACAGGGCAGGGTATAGGGAAGGGGTACAGAGTTCCCATGCCCTCTCTGGGCACATCACCCTCCCAGGACGTGGATGTATTCACCAACCCAGAAGCTCTCCGAAGCCCACTGTATAGTGGTTTATATGGAGGCTCCATTACATGACCACAAGTGATTAAATCATTGGCCACATTGATGATTAACTCAATCTCCAGCCCCTCTCCCCCTCCGTGGAGGTCCAGGGTGGGGAGTAGGATGGGGCTGCAAGTTCCAACCTGCTCATCATGCCTAGGTCTTTCTGGCAACCAGCCCCAGCCTGAAGCTCTCTAGGGGCCCATCAAGAGCTGCCTCATTAGAACAAAAGAAGCTATCACCCTTATCACTGAGGAAATTCCAGGGGTTTTAGGAACTGTGTGCCAGGGACAAACACCAAATATATATTTATTATACTTTGCAACAATAAAAATGTACAATTCAGAAACAGTTCAAATTGGAAATCAACTAAACTCCATTAAACAAGCCCCACTCTCTTCTGGGGTTCCTCTGTTTGCCCTTCAATGGCTTGAGAGTAAACAGAAGACTCTTACAAGTATAATCCTGGAAGTCCTCCCTGGGGTCTGCGGGCTTCTACCCCACCCCACCACAAGGCCTCTCCGCTCCAGCCACCAAAAACACTACTCCTGCGGCAGGCGCCCTGCCTGGGGACTCCGACTCCCAGGGCAATGTCTCCTCTTTGGGAAACCCTCTCTAATTCTCCCAGGACAGCCCTCCTTTGTGCCTATTCTTACATTTGCTTGTTCTCTCTCCCCCACCTGGACTGGAAGGGGAGGGGAGAATGGGGCTCATTCCCGTTTCAGGGCCCAGTGCTTTGTAAGTGGTCCTGGCTGAGCATCAGAAACTCCTATGGAGCTTCTTAAAAATACAGCTCTCAGACCCCACCCCAGAGCTACTGAACCCCAAATCTGGGTGAAGGCAGGGCATCTGCATTTTTCACTCCACAAGCGATCCTGGAGAACCGCAGTGCTGAGAATCTGACCAGGTGTCAGAAGGTGCAGCTCTGCTGAATAAACAAGTTCCTATACTGTTTCCCAATCACTGTCCAGGCCTCCCAGGAGGCACCCCTCATACTGGGGAGTCACCTGAATCCTCCTCCTGCCTCATTCTTCCTCAACCGCTGTAGTGAGACTGTCCACCAGCAACTCTGCCAACAGCAGGAGTGCACACAAAGGTGTCTGCCTGCACCAGTAAAAGAAAACCTAGACCTTCATCTTGTCTTCCTCGGAATGATGGAAAAGCACCTGCTGCCTCCAGTATGCCAGAGCCAGACTTAAGACAGCAATGCACAGTACCATTTTTCTTTGAAAACATGGCAACAACTTTAGGATTTAAATACTTTCCCGTGGGTTTATACAAGAAACAGGTGGAAAAGAGAGCGGAAGAGGTCATTTACAGAACTGATCAGATTAGGTTTAAGGGAAGGAGGGGGAGCTGCTTATCCGTCCCTGCTCTGTTTTCTCATGTAAAGACTCTGGGAGACAGAGGTGCTAGAAAAAGCAAGGCCAAAAGGCGCGGGTGTTCAGGGAGGCAGCATGCACAATTAGGGAGCAGCCGTCCTTCCCTGGACTGGGCTACCCCAGGCTTCATGGCCTGCAAAGCCACTGGCAATAGTCAGCCTCTGCTTTGTGGTGACCACAGAAACCCGAGGGGACACTGAGGGGCCCCTGGCATTCCTGGAGGGAACAATACGAACTTCATAACAAAGCCTTACCCCAGGACCAACTGGCAGGTGAGGTGTCTCCACTGCCTTTTTTTTTAATGCTTCCAACTCTCTACTTCTGTTGATGATACCCATCAAAGAAAAGCAACAGGCTATCAGTTCAGACCAGGAGCTCCCACGGAAGGCCATTCATACAATGGGGAGAAGATTTTGATCAATATTTACCATGCAGATCCAGATGAAACCCTTCACTCATCACGCACTGGACAGCTCTGGAGGCAGAGGCCATGGGCCGGGCAATTGAGTCACCAAAGAGTATGGTGAGGAACAGGCCTCCAGGGGCTCCAAATTGGGAGGGGCCCAAATGGGGGGCGGGGGCTGGCGCATACAGATACGCAAACAATCATCACACTCCTGCTCTAGGGGAGGAAGGTCCAAAGTCTGTGGGGACACCACAAGCAACTGGACACCTGTAGGGCTGTGGGAAGGTTCAGAGGTGGCCCAGGGGTCTGAGAAGAGTGTGTCAAAGGACATTCACGGCAGACAGAATGTGGGAAATGCCCACTACAGCCCACAGCTGGTAGCTTCTTTGCTCTTGCAGCTCTGGCAGGCAGCCGTGGAGGCACTTAGCTTTCCCCACTTCTCCACCCTCAAGAGCATTCCCTCACTCTTCCCGTATCACTTCCACAGCTGGAGGCTCCCTCCCTGCAGCATCAAAGCACTGGTCGAAGCTTCATTAAGGCACTTACCATGAGGTATCACAATGATTTGTTTACAAGCCTGCATCTCCCGTTGGACTAAGAGCTTCTCAGGGGTACACCCTGCACCTCCTCACCTGTGTCAACCCTGCACCAGGGGAATGACAAAGGCTCAAAGAGCTTCCAAGCCCTGAGCTCCTGCTAAGTGTCAGGGACCCTACAGGGCTCCTTTCGTACGTTCTCCTTTCAGCCTCACAGTCTCTGAGGTTAGCTGCCGTCACTTCCATCTTACAGAGGAGGAACCAAATCAGAGAGCTTGTGGCGGGGCTGAGACTGGACCTCAGGTCTACCTGACCTCAGAGCCCACAATCTTTCCATTATAACAGGCTCCAAGCTTCCCTCCTTCCTACGCCAAGCCCCAGGGGAGGGGAGACAGAGAAGCTATGGCTACCCCAGAAGGGCTTCTCTTTTGCAAGCCTAGCCCTCTACCCAGCCCTCACCGACTAGCCCAGTGCCCTGCTAGGATCGTGGCCACCAACGGCTCCTCCCAGAGGAGAGAGGGCCACCCTAGCCCTTATGCTAAGAGTAGGACCCACAAAAATCTCACCAGCAGCGAGCTGCAGGAGCTTCAGGAAAGGCCTCCTGGAAGAGAGCAGCTGGTCTCTGGCTGAGAGGACATCCTGAATGGAACCAGGCTGCATCAACATCCATGGTGCAAGACATCACTGATGACCACCGCCACCACAGTGGGGGTCCGACACTCCGAATCCAAACCTGAGTCTGTCTTGAAGATCTCCTATCTGCATCTGTCTTCTCCAAATCACCAGGGCACCCCTGTTACCAAAGGTCCCTGATACTTTAACTAAAGGAGGTGGGGGATCGTATCATGTCATACTCCATGATTCTACAATACCATAAAATTGGGCAAATCTAGACCCCATAGCATCAATTATGCTTTCAAAAAGCCAAGTTACCCAATTTCACAAATCATTCAAGCAATTAAACATAAGTGCCAAGAAAAAATAACCAACTGAAAGCAATTATTTCAAATAATTAAAAGAACAATGAGATTCTTGAAAACAAATATCATATCCCGAACAGAGAGTGGAGAACGGGGCAGATTCAAAACTTTTCTGGTTCACTGCAATTCAGTATGAACAGTAAACCTTTGCAGAAGGAGGGGCAGGGGCGATTAGGCCTCTGCAACCTTAATTTATTCATTTTCCTCAACAATTTCCCTTCTCTGATAATCTGTAATGGCTGTTTGAAGTGTTGTATTAAGAATTCACAGGAGTCGGGGCCGGCCCGGTGGCTTAGCGGTTGAGTGCGCGCGCTCCGCTGCTGGCGGCCCGTGTTCGGGGCCCGGGTTCGGATCCCGGGCGCGCACCGACACACCGCTTCTCCGGCCATGCTGAGGCCATGTCCCACGTACAGCAACTAGAAGGATGTGCAACTATGACATACAACTATCTACTGGGGCTTTGGGGGGAAAAAAAAAGGAGGATTGGCAATAGATGTTAGCTCAGAGCCAGTCTTCCTCGGCAAAAAGAGGAGGATTATCATGGATGTTAGCTCAGGGCTGATCTTCCTCACAAATAAATAAATAAATAAAAAGAATTCACAG